GTTGTTCATGATTGTTATACACACAGTCAGATTAATTAGATTCTTTAGATACATAGCTTCAACATTGCAAAATGAGACTTTGCTCAGGTAGCTAATTATCTCCATAATATGTTGCTTGCTTGGGAAGTTACTTCATTGTGTTCATTGTACTTCCTGCCTGCTCAAGCAATATTATCTAGCTTCTCAGGCCTTCAGTGGGGTTGAAGATTAGATAGTTGTAGTTACTGTACTCTTATTATCTAGCCAAGCCATTTGCTATACAATACTTAGACTCCATAGGATAAAATGTTTATTAAAACATTTAGCATGTGTTACTTGCTTAATATTGTTTATTCTGGTTGTAATTCTAATTACACTTGATATCTGTTCCAAGTGTATATAGTTTTGTATTGGGTTTGAAACTCTCATATTTAAACAAAAAGGGGAGGTGCTGTGGGATCACATTCTGCTCCTTCAGCCAATAGCCTTTAAGATACCAACCCACTGGGGTATGGTCTCTTATACTTTAAAAAGCAGCCAGAAACGTGCACCTGCTCTCTTGCTTATGGCTCCCGTTCTGGATGCTAGACTGTGTTCCTGTTTGCGCTCAGAGGACTGTTGTTTAGGATGGTGATCTGTAAGTTTTCCCTTTAAATAAACAACCCTTTTATTACCCTAATTCTGAACTGCTGTGGGATTGTTTTAAGGCATCACCCAGGTTTTGTTCCTAGCATCCACATAACCCCAAATTTCCTGGAACCCAAGTTACTGAGAATCTGATACCCTCTCTGACCTCTGTGGGCAGTAAGCACAAAGTGGACATATATATATTTACAACAATAAATGAATAAAGACAGAGAGGAAGAGGAAGAGGAAGAGGAAGAGGAAGAAGAAGAAGAAGAAGAAGAAGAAGAAGAAGAAGAAGAAGAAGAAGAAGAGAGAAAATGAATATGAATGAGAACAGGGCACTGGCAGCAGCTTCCAATCCTTAATCATGTTCTATCCTGGGAGGCAGCACCACCTACTGTCCACATAGAAACCTACAGTCTGCTAAAACATTTAACTGAAGGAGCCACTCCATTGCTTCGTTTTAGGCAGTTCCAGTAATTCAGGCTAGAATAATTTAGAAGGTACACTGAACTTGAATTGACGAGATGACATTAAGAATGTACATATATGGGGGCTGGAGAGATGGCTCAGAGGTTAAGAACACTGGCTCCTCTTTCAGAGGATCCAGGTTCAATTCCCAGCACCCACATGGCAGCTCACAATTGTCTGTAACTCCAGTCCCAGGGAATCTGACACCATCACACCAATGCACACGAAATAAAGTTAAATTTTTAAAAAAAAAGAATGTACATATATGAAGTTGGTAAGGAGATCAGAACAGGAATCAAATGGGGCTAGGACTCAGCAGCCCTGTGTAGGGTCAATTACAAAAATGAGAGTGAATTCTGAACCTGGGTCTGCCTTGGAATTTTACTTCACTGCAGCAGGAGGAGTGTGATGTGGTCCTTAGGAGAAGCAAATCCCCTAGACACACAGTTTCCCTGTATCGGAAAAGGATTAGGAAACAGAAATCCTTTTTTGTTACTTTTATTTTAATTTATTTTTTAAAACTATCTTTCCTCATTTTGCATGTGAAATCCATTTCCCACTCCCTCCCCTCCTGCTTACTCCACCTTCCCCCTACACATCCCACTTCCACTCCCCAGAAAGGTTAAGGCTTCCCACCTGGAGTCAACAAAGTCTAGCACATTGCTTTGAGGCAGATCCATGGCCCTACCCATAATATCTAGGCTGAGCAAGGTATCCCTCCAGAGAGAATGAGTTCCAAAAAGTCAGAACAAGCAGTAGGGATAAATTCTTATGCCACTGCCAGTGACCCCACAGTCTGCCCGTCATACATCTGTCACCCACATTCAGAGAGCCTAGTTTGGTCCTATGCTGGTTCCCTCACTGTCAGACCAGAGTTAGAAGGCTTCCATTAGCTCAGGTAAGCTGTTTCAGTGGGTATCCCCATCATGGTCTTGACCTCTTTGTTCATATTCTAACTCTTTTCTCTCTTTGACTAGACTTGAGAGCTCAGCCCAGTACTCCACTGTGGTTCACTGTATCTGCTTCCATCTATTGCTGGATGAAGGTTCTATGGTGACATTTAAGACAGTCATCAATCTGACTACAGGGCTAAGCCAGGTCAGGCATCCTCTCCACTATTGCTTAGTGGAGATCATCCTTGGGGATTCCTGGGAATTTCTCTAGTGCTAGGTTTCTGGCTATCTTCATAAAGGCTCCATCAATCAAGATATTTCTTTCCTTGTTCTCCCTCTCTGTCCTTTCCCCCATCTCGACCATCCTGAGGAAAAAGAAATTTTAATTGATTTTTATTGAGCTCTACATGTTTCTCTTCTCCTCTCCCTGCCTCTCCCCTCCCCTTCAACCCTCTCCCAAGGTTCCCGTGCTCCAAATTTATTCAAGAGATCTTTTCTTTTTCTACTTTCTACTTCCCATGTAGATTAGATCTATGTCTGTCTCTCTTAGGGTCCTCATGGTTGTCTAGGTTCTCTAGGATTGTGATTTGTGGGCTGGTTTTCTTTGCTTTATGTATAAAAACTGTTTATGAGTGAGTAAATGTGATAATTGTCCTTCGGTGTCTGGATTACCTCACTCAAAAATGTTTTCTAGCTCCATCCATTTGCCTGCAAAATTAAGATGCCGTTATTTTTTCTGCTGTGTAGTACTCTGTTGTGTAAATGTACCACATTTTCCTTATCCATTCTTCAGTCAAGGGTATTTAGGTTTTTTTCCATGTTCTGGGTTTAACAAACAATGCTCCTATAAACATAGTTGAACATATGTCATTGTGGCACAATTGAGCATTTTTTTAGATATATACTTAAAAGTGGTATTACTGTTTCTTGAGGAGGATTGTTTCCTAATTTTCTGAGAAATTGGCACACTGACATCCAAAGGGGCTGTACCAGCTTGCACTCCCACCAGCAATGCAGAAGTGTTCCTTTTACCCCACAGCATGTCCAGCGTAAGTTGTCATCAGTGTTTTTGATCTTGGCCATTCTTACAGGTGTAAGAGGGAATCTCAGAGTTGTTTTTATTTGCATTTCTCTAATGACTAAGGATGTTGAACATTTCCTTAAGTGTCTTTCAGCCATTTTAGATTCCTCTGTTGAGAGTTCTCTGTTTAGGTCTGTACTCTATTTTTTATTGGATTATTTGTGCTTTTGATGACCAATTTCTTGAGTTCTTTCTATATTTTGGAGAACAGACCTCTGTCTGATGTGGGGTTAGTGAAGATTTTTCCCATTCTGTAGGCTGTCATTTTGTCTTATTGACTGTGTTCTTTGCTTTACAGAAAATTTTCAGTTTCAGGAGGTCAGTGTCTGTGCTACTGGGTTTATATGTAGGAAGTGATCTCCTGTGCCAATGCGTTCAAGTGTACTTCCACTTTCTTGTCTATGAGGTTCAGTGTGGCTGGCTTTATGTTGAGATCTTTGATCCATTTGGACTTGAGTTTTGTACATGATGATAGATATCTATTTTCATTTTTCTACATGTTGATATCCAGTTATTCCTTCACCATTTGTTAAATATGTTTTCTTTTTTTCGTTTGATATTTTTTGCTTCTTTGCCAAAAATCAGGTGTTCCAAGGTGTGTGTATCAATATCCTACTTTTTGATGCAGTTCCATTGGTCCTTCTGTCTGTTCTTATGCCAATATCAAGCTGTTTTCAGTACTGAAACTGTAGTAGAGTTTGAAGCCAGGGATTGTGATGCCTTCAGAAGTTCTTTTATTGTACAGGATTGTTTTGGCTATCCTTGGCTTTTTCTTTTCCACATATAGTTGAGTACTGTTCTTTCGAGTCTGCAAAGAATTTTGCTGGGATTTTGATGGAAATTGCATTAAATCTGTAGATTGCTTTTGTTAAGATTGCCATTTTATGTTGATTCTACCTACCCAAGAGCATGGGAGATCTTTCCACTTTCTGGTGTCTTCAATTTCCTTCTTCCAAGGCTTCCTCCTTCCCAGAATTCTCCTGTTCTCATTTATGACCTCTATTTCCTGTCTGGTTTGTCCTGCCTATAATTCCTGCGTGGCTACTGGCCAATCAACGTTTATTTAAAATATAATTGACAGAATACAGTCCATTTTCCCACACCTCTGCCTCAACTGTGACTCCCCCCATTCTCCAAAAGAGAAAGAGATGCTGCTTGTTGTTAGGGTGACATAAACCCATTTCATTTGTATCCTGACGACTTTCACGTTTCTCTAACAGGACTGCAAGTTTCCAATGGAAGGCTTAAGGTACTCAACACAAGGCTGGTTTTAAAGGGTATGAAATGATGGAAAGCTATAACACTGCCCCCATAATGCAGAGTGGGCAACAACCTTCAGAAGCAGGGGTGGGGGTGTAGAACTGCCTAGGGCATCATTGAAGAACACCTTTAGTTGTGTGGATACAGTGTTTCCAGAGAGACTCGAATGAGGGGAGAAGATCTACACTCAAGTGGGTGTCATTGTTCCCTGAGCTGGGAACCCAGACTAAAAGGGAAAGGGCTCTGGAGAAAGCAGGCTGGGCACCACTGGTATCTCAGTTTCATGACCCATCCAGGTGTGGGCTGCAGCCTCAGGCTGCTGCCGCCACAGCTTCCAGCCACTGCTGCCTCCTTGTTTTCTCCGCCATGGACAGTAACATCAAACTGTAAACCGAAATAAGCCCCTCCTCCCTCAGGTCACAACAATAAGAGAAACAAATACCTAGTGGTACCCTGGGCACCGCCACTGTTGAAGCTGAGACCATTAAGGACAATGATATCACTGTCCCCAGCCTCACCCAGGTGTCACGGTCCTGTGACACCACCAGAACTCCTGGTTCCTCATGTGGGGTTCTTGGGGCTCGTTCTGTAAGGCATTTCTCAAGTCCTGTGAGTTTTGCGTTAAAGGCATCAAGACTTTCCTCTTCCTGTAAGCAAATACGCCACACCCTGCAGCAAAGTCCATGTCGCTGCTGGGTGAGCCCTGCTCATGGGTGTATTTTCCTTTTCCTGATAATTCTGGGCTAAATCGGGATGAGTCTTTTCACCTTCTCCCCAGTTCTACTGACGTGTGTCTATATATAGCTGGCATAACTAAAGAAGATCCACTCTTCTGCTGGCCTTCTCCCTCGGTCTGGAGACCAAGAAAATGGCCTGAAGTTGAAAAGAAGAAGTTTGAGGTAGGATAGTAAGAGAGCTATTTTGGGGAGGGCTCAGACAGGAAGAGGGAAGAGGAGGCAATTCCTTCTTTGGGTCAACCTTGGAAAGTGTTTGAAAGAAAGGGACAATGTAGCCTCAAATACTATTAAATGCTCTGTCTGTCTCTCTCTCTCTGTGTGTGTGTGTATGTGTCTGTATCTCTCTGTATTTGTGTGTGTGTCTCTCCTGTTCTCTTTCTCTTTCATCTTGACAGCACTGAAGTCTTGGAAAACTTGGTGGTTAATAAAGACTTGATCACAAGGTTCCACCTTAAGTGGTTGGTGATACCAGCAACAGCAGTGAGCCCTACAGAGTAACATATAGGAGGGACACATAAATCTCTTATTGAGTTCTTCTCATCAGCCACACAGCAGAGAAGAATGTCAGCTTGTCCTTGATAGTTTACTTCTGGCCATGACACCATGGCCTAAAATTTAGCTTTGAACTGTAAAAAGATCCCACAGAAAACTTGCAAAACAGATTTGGAGTTTGGGTCACCTGCTTCCTCGAGGTATATGAGAAATAATGACTAACTTTAAGTTTAGAAAACACTGAACTGTTTCTGAAATTCCTGCTAGGTTGTGTTTCTTACAGCCCAGGCTCTGGCCTCTCTGATCCAGGGTGGACCTGAAGTCCAGGTCTGAGTCCACTTCCTCCTGCTCAGATCAGCTCCAAGGAGCCCTCTCATCTGGGACTCTCTGGCCTGCAAATGACCCAGTAGAGGGGCTGGTGACGTGGGGGCCATGGTTCCTCTGTACAAGGACAATGAGGAGGACATCTGTCCCATCTGCCTGGATCCCGTGAAGGAGGCTGTGAGGCCAGACTGCGGCCACCTCTTCTGCCGAATGTGCCTGACCCAGTACATGGATAAGGCTTCAGTCTCTGGGGTCCTCAGCTGCCCAGTCTGCAGGAAGCCCTACTCTGAGGGGGTCCTCGGGGATGGTTATATCTGCTTCAGCCACCAGAAGAGGGTGTGCATGTTCTGTGAGGCAAGCAGACATCTCCTGTGTGTGGAATGCCTCAAGTCCCCCGAACACCAGTCTCATGCTGAGCTCTCCATTGAAAATGCCATCAGCCACTACAAGGTAAGGCTGTGCCACCCCCACCTGCCCCTGCCACTGACTCCACAAGTTACTTCTTCTAAGCCTGGCTCCTCACAGAGGCTGTGACTGACACCTTCCTTTGAGTCTTCTTCATCAACCAACTTGAAGCCCTGGTCTTTGTTTCTGTATACCTCACTGTTAATACCAGGCTTTCCAGGGCTCTGTGTGTCTATCTAGGTGATCCTGCCATTGTGATGGCAAAGTCCCAGGAAGCATGGGCACTGTGTTTGCTGCAGCTGTGTAGATAGATTCTCTACTAGATAATAAGAACCCCTTCTGGACCAAGATGATACGGTTCCCTGGGTGGATGGTTCTAGAACCCAGTCTGGATGTGCAATCAAGATTTATCCGTGCCAACAGCTACCTTTCAAAGATTTGAAATCTGAAAACATGATGTCCTTGTCCCCTCTCCTTCCTTTACTGGTTATTATTGTTGTTTCTTGCTTTCTTTTTTTTTTCTAAAATTGATCCACACTTTTGACAATAAATTCAAGTGACACCTGAAGATTAAGTAGCAAAACTAAAAATCTTTCCTCTGGGATAAGAGTTAGTTGAGGGGAAAGGAGACTGCCATGAAGCTTTACTCTGAATTCGACTCTGGGACCTTCATGGTAGGATGGGAATGGCTCCCACCGACTGTCCCCTAACCTCCACACAAGATCCATGGTGTGCCCCCTTCCAAATAAATAAATGTAACAAAATGATAATGAATCTTTCTTCCTGTCTTTCCTCATTCTGTCATCAGTGATAGCCTGCATTAGATTTCTTTTATTCTATCCTTCCAGAAAAACTGTGTGTTTGAATGTTCTCTTTAAAACACACCTACACACACACCATAGAGAGAGAGAGACAGACAGACAGACAGACAGATGCTAGACATTTAGCTCAGTGGAGGAGTCTCTGCCTGGCATAGATGAAGCCATGGGTTCAATTCCCAGTAGTTAGAAAAGTACAACAGTAAGTGTGTAAAGCACTCTATTTTTTATCTATTTTTGTGTGCACACACGATGTGGTGGGGGTGTGCCCTGGAATGCACATGGCGGCCAGAACTTTGTGAAGTCAGTTCTTTCCCTATACCCGTGGGTTGCCAATCTTGGTGGCAAGTGCCTTTATCCACTGAGTCATCTTTCTGGCTCCCTCCTTTTTTCAAAACTATATCTTGTTTTTAATTATCTAAAAATATGTTTTGGACATTTTCCCACTTTTTCCATTAGTCCATCCAGATCTCCTGAACATCTTTCAACAACTGCATTCTGTCCAATTCTGTGAATAATCACAGGTTAGGAGACTGGGCTATACTCAGGTATTGTTTGTAGGTTACATGGGATATAATGATGATATCTTTTAGTATGTATTCTGGAAAAGTTGAAATACCCAAGATATTTTGGTGAAAATGTAAGATCAAAAACTAACTTTGCCTTCTCTAAGCTATAATAAATTGCCCCACTACCTTTTACTGAAGGTGCCATGCAGATCCTGCCCTGTCCTATTACTCTGTATGTTTCTGCCGGTGTGCCAACGTTCCTCCTCTCCCTTCTCATCTTCCTCCTCCCTTTGCTTCTTCCTCTTTCCCTCCCCCTTCTTCCTCTCATAGTTCTAAGGAAAAAGATTGAACCTAAGGTCTTGCATATGCAAGGCAAGCCTGCTATGCTAATATACAGTGTTCCTTTTTACTTTTTATTTTAAGACCAAATCTTACTTTTGATTCCCATGCTGCAAGCCTCCAGAGTAACTAAAATTGCAGGCTGATGACACCAGAATCACCTGGTTAAACCACCTTAAGAATTGTATATTGTTGCCGGGCGGTGGTGGCGCACGCCTTTAATCCCAGCACTTGGGAGGCAGAGGCAGGCGGATCTCTGTGAGTTTGAGACCAGCCTGGTCTACAAGAGCTAGTTCCAGGACAGGCTCCAAACCACAGAGAAACCCTGTCTCGAAAAACCAAAAAAAAAAAAAAGAATTGTGTATTGTTAATATGGGCAAGCAGAGTTGTTTTTTCTTTTTTTAAAAAAATATTTTATTTTATGTGTACACATGAATATATGTGTTTCACATGCATAATACCCAGGGAGGCCTGAAGAGGTCGTTGGATTCCCTGGAACTAGAGTTACAGGCAATAACAAACTGCCACGTGGGTCCCTGGTCCTGGGCAGGAGCAGCCAGTGCTCTTAACCACCGATCTATCTCTCCAGTCCTGTGGTTTGTGTTTCTTGAGGATCATTATCTGTAGTCCCAGTTAGCACGAGTTGTAATTGATGCAGTCCTCCTGCCTTAGCCTGCTGAGTGCGGGAATTACAGATACACAGTCCCACACTTAACTTTTCTTTTCCCATTGTTTCCCCGCCACCCAAAACTTCTTGCTGGGCTGGATCTTCCTCTTTCCAAACATTAGTCCTTTCTTTTTTCTTCCTTTCTTTCAAAACTATTTTTTAAAAACAGTGGTAGGGTTTGAACTCAAGGCCTCGCGTATGCGAGGATGTGCTCTTCCCCTCAGCTGTACCTCCACCCCACCCCTGGCATTTTCTTGCCAGTTGTTCTGAAGATGAATGAGTCAAAGGCATGCCTTCTGCCCCAGCTAATCTGCTAGAGAATCCTGTGTCATCTGGGGATGTTAAATGGAACAGTTCTGAGATTTCCTCGTGATGTCATGAGGAAACGAGCTCTTGTCGTGCCGAAGTCTCCCGTTGAGTGGCCTCACTCATCCTGGCCTGATGCCTTCACCCTGTGGCTGCATCCTCAGCCCTAGGATCCCACTCCCTAACACCTCGAGCCCCTCTGCTTCAGAAGTCATGAGCAAGCACCTACAGTCAGCAGTCACTTGGCTTCTGTCTATCTCTGTTCTCAGCCAGATCTGCATATTAATGTCTGTGAATGAGAATCACTGTGACTGGACAGATACAAAGTTTAAGCACTTGAAGCTTCAGGGATGCTGTGATAGAAGCCAAAGCTGACCCCACACACACACCCTGCACCCCCACCTGTCCTGTACCTGTTTCCCTGTCAGGTCTTCCTATTAATAATGGAGGTTGGATTTTCTCTCTCTGTTTTTTTCTTTGTGGTGTTGAGGTTTGAACCCAGGACCTCATACACTCCACACAAATGTTCTATCCTCAGTCCTGAAGGGTAAATTTCCAAAATCTTTCAGACGGTTGGCCTTTAAAAGACATTGTCATTATCTGGAAAGAGAAATGAGGGAGACTAAGTCGGAACTAAATGGAGAGAATGATTCAGGAAGCTGAAAGGGCGATGGTCTACTGAGTTCTGTACCTACTAAGTGCAGAGTCTTACAGGGGGAGGGCTTCCCACCGCCATGAGTCAGGAGAGAGACTGACTCAGCCTGTACTCTCTGTAAGGTGTCATACCAGGCATTGGGAGGAAATACAAAGGTGATTCATGACTACTGACTCCAAGTCCGTATTTAAGTAATAAGAGGAAGTGTAGAAAAATAAATAAGAATATTTGCTCATGTAAGGAAAACAGTGAGTGTCTGCTGCACATACATAAGAGAGCTGATGACAAACAAAACCAGCTACACGTGTTAGGAAGGCAGAGAAGCAACTGAAAGAACTACAGTGTTTATGATCTTAGAATACCAGCAGGTGGCCTTCTTAGTGTGATCAACCGGGGCCTAATGGGAAGGGAGCTGCCCCAGGACCAAGACTGGGTGTGGGGAGCAGATGGAGAAGCTAAGCCCAGAGAAGCGCGGTTATGTTTGGAAGATTTATTATCAGCCTGTTTAAAACTGCTTTAGTTACTCTCTTATGTTAGCATACCAAGTAATGGTTTGTATGTGCTGCACGTCTTTAGCCCCAGCACCTGGAGGCAGATCTCTGAATCCTAGACTCACAGGGGCATATAGTGAAACCCTGAAACAACAACAATAACACACACGCGTGGGCGCGCGCACACACACCCCACACACACACAGAGCGCACAGGGCTTGGAGGCTTGGTGGTTAAGAGGAGTATTGCTCTTTCAGAAGACCTGAGTTTGGTTCTCAGGACCCACAGCAGGGGGCTCACAACTCTCCCTCCATGGGATCTGGTGCCTTTTCTGGGCTCCTTGGGTACCACATATATCCACACACAAACACACTCATACATGTAATTAAAAATAAAAATAACTATTTAAATAAGTTCGTAAAAACAGAGGATTCTATCTTAATCATTTTAAACATGCTGAATAATACAACTGCACTGTCCCAATCTTGTCTCATGCACTTAGAGTTATTGGCAGTGTGTGTGTGTGTGTGTGTGTGTGTGTGTGTCTTTGCAAGTCAGAAAAGAGGAGGGTGCTGGGTTCCCTAAAACTGGAGGTACAGCAGTTGTGAGCTGCCCAGTGTGGGTGCTGGGAACCAAGCTCAGGTCTCCTGAAGGCCAGCAACTGCTGAGCCAAGCCCCAGAAATTGCTTTGTTTTGTTTTCTGAAATAGGGTCTCAGTACATAGTCCTGGCTGACCTGGAACTCACTGTGTAGACCACGCTGGCCTCAAACTCAGAGGTCCAGCTTCTGGGGTTAAAAGTGAACAGTGTTGTGCCCGTGGCTTCCCTGAGATACTGCCTCATCCTCCAGTTGACAACACCTGTGTCTGTCTCTAGGAAAGACTCACCCGGAGAAGCAGAAAGCTCAGAAAGGACCTGGGGGAACTTCAACGGCTGAAAGCTCAGAAAGGGGAGATGCTGCATGCTCCGCAGGTGGGTGGCTCAGTCCCAGAGATGGTCTAGAGTCCGGAAGGACCTCTCCTTTTGTTGTGGACAACTGTTCCTGGAGCAGCCTGCTGTGGAATTATGGTCATGTAGGCTGAAAACCGGGGTTTGGGGCTTGACTCTGAGATTGGTGAACAGAATGACTTGGGATGTGTGAACCTTCTGAACTCCATACATCTTTCTTCTTAAGGAAAAACACCTGTTCTCCCAGGTATGTAATGAGAATTAAGAGAGTTGAAAATCACAACACATCTTGTCCTTGACAATCACACTTTTCTATCTCGCTCACTTGGGTGAGCTCTCTCCTCACTTACAGGGTTAAAGGCAGACACCAAAAGAACATAGCTGAGTTGTGTGCGCACCCATGTGCGTGCGTGTGTGAGTGTGTGTGTGTGTGTGTGTGTGTGTGTGTGTGTGTGTGTGTTGCGCTATGGCAGGGCCTATTATCTGTAGATGTGCTGGGCACTGTGAGGTGGGAAGGGAGGTGCTTTGTGAGAGTCCTATTGCTTCTGCAGTACAATGGCTGGTGAGGTAAGAACACGAAGGAAGAGGGATAGAGGTCAATATTTGCACCTAGCTGTTCAGTGCATAGAGATCCAGGGTCTCTATCACCAAGTCTCAGGGTAGCTCCTCTTCTGTGGTTTCAGGTGGATTGGGGGAGCTACAGGCCAGGAGCTGAGTTGCAGAGCCAAGATCAAACCACGGAACAGCTGAAGGCCCCACCACAGCATCGTCTGGACCACCAAGAGGACCAGCCAACGGAGGCGGTCAGGATCTTTCACTTCTCTGAAGCAGTAACACAGCTCAGCTTCCTGGTTTCTGGACTGGAAAGGATGGCCAAGGAATTGGATGCCAGAACTCTGAAGGTGTACTTCTTACGGCACCCCCAAATTCAGGGAGGGATTCTCGGATTAGTAAACAGCCTGCCAGCAGGTCCTTTCTGGGAGGTGTAAGGGGACGTGTTCCCAGGATATGTGATGATTGGGGTGTGTATGTGTTTGTGTGTGTTGAGAGAGGCTTCTAAGGGCCACACCATGATACCACAGAATGAGGAGCAGAAGAAAGGGGTTATGCCCGCCAGCTTTCGTGGTGGCATGCAGACTGACCTTCAAGCGTGAGCTAGGATGGGCATTCAGTGGCAAGAACACAGTAACTGACTGTGATTGTCACCTTTTCTCTCCCAGGATGCCAGTGACTTACTGGACAGGTATGACCCCCCCCTCCCTCCGTCCCACACTTGAAGACACATGCAGATCCACATGGCATAGATGTGCATATGGGCTAAATGAAAGTCAAGGAGACGTACTTGGTACCTTCGTATGGCTCGGGCAGTGGAAGCTCCAGCAGGATATATATGAATGTGTGAATGATTTCTTTGATTTCAGGAGTGCGCCCCAGAAATTAGAAGGACTCCTCTCTCATCTTCCTCCAGCTGCTCCAAACCTCAGCTAGTGCTCCTGGCGTGTTCTCTCCTGATGCCTTAACCTCTGACGCTCGGACACAGTCTCCTTCCTAAGCCAGGCTTGAGCTGTGGCTCCTTGTGGCCAGGCATTTCAGATCTCCATCACGTCCAGGGCCATTTGAGCAATCTCCATGATACCTGTGAACTGCTGGAGCACCTGCTGTCCTTGGTCTCGTGTGAGCATCCAAGTGTCCAGACGGCACGGGTCATCAGAGTGAGGCCCCCTCAGCGTACAGAGGTTGACAGGTTTATTGGAGTGATATTTCTTCTGACTGGATAGAGTCTCCTGTCTGTACTGTCTGCATAGTTTGCTCATTACAACTGCTGCAAACAGTCGCAAGGGTGATGTCTACAGTCCTCACCCTCATGGTCCTGTACATGTGTAACCTTGTCCCGCGTGTGAGTGGATTCTGTGACTTGCTTCTCATCAAAGGGATACAGCAGAGGTGACAAAGGTACTGGAGTGACCATATCTCCTTCCCCTGGACTCTTGCCAATTGATGCATTCTAGAGACTTCTTGCTAAAGTTAATGGCGCTGAGGGGAAAGACATGTGGGCAGCTCCTAGGTTCCCAGAACAGCCTAATGGTCCAGCTGACAGGAATCAGGGGGCCTGGGTCTTACAGTCACAAGAGAATGAATTCTGCTAACACTGTAAGCAAAGCTGGAAGTAAAGTCTTCTTGTGGGAACTGGTAGTGCCCCAACTTCTTACCCTGCCAAAGTTTCCAGAAGGCCTGAAAAATGGTAGAAAAATTCTTTTTTCCCCCTTATTTCTGTATCTGTTTTTATAATAAACTTTCCTATTTAAACGAACCGGGATGGGTCTCTCTTCTTTGCAATAGAAAGCTTTTTCAGCATAAGTAGGGAAAGTCAGGAGTTAAACCTGTGCCTGTCAGGTAAAGTGTGTGAAGCTACACTAGGGTCTGGTAGAGAGGAATCGGGAGCCTGGAGCTTTTACACTGATTGCAGCTCTTCTGGGGGAAGCAAGTTCTCTAGCAAGAACAGCCTGGAGGTTCACTGATCACCTCACTGGCAGGTCATCCAGTCTACCTCCTTTAACAGGGAGGAAGCTTCAAGGTGCCCTGGGGAGGAGCGTACGCTGATGGGTTAAAAAGGAGTATATCCACTCGCTCGAAGGTTTACTTCTCAGTTTAAGAAATACGAATTATCTTTCAGAATGGCGGTCAGTTGTAGCAAGCATAGTCAGCATCAAAATCCTCCCCAGGGCCACACAACCACCAGTTTCCAAACAAAACAGTCTGGAAAGGTGTTTAACAGATCAGAAGCTGGACATGGATTCTAAAGTCCTGGCTGTATGATATTGGATGAGCAAATAATCAAATTTCACCAGGCCTCAGCTCTCCCCTCCTCTTTCTTCTCATTCTTTCATCCCACCCCCACCCCATGCTTTTTCTTTCCTCTCCCTTCAACAGGGATTAGTGCAGGTCAGGCTAGCATCAAATTTGCTGTTTTACTGTGAGGCAGAGGCTGACCTCGAATTCCTGATCTTCCTGCTTCTACCTACTGAGACTTACAGACACTACCATGCACAGCTGCCTTCTTCGTGCGGACCAGCGAGATGGCTCAGTAAATAAAACACTCGCTGTGTAAGCACGGAGACTGGAGTTCGGAGGCCCAGAACACATGTAAAAGCTGAGTAGCTGCCTATGATCTGAGCTCTCACAGGGAAAAGTCAGGACCCCCAAAACAACTAGATAGCTAGACTAACCAGAACCGGTGAGTTCAGAGTTCAGCAACAGACCCTAGCAAACAAGTAGAGAGTGACTGAGAAAGACATCTGACGTCGGCCTCAGGGCCCACACACATGTGTACTTGAAACCATACACATGCGTACCCACACATATAACCATGCAGACACATATACAAAGCACACATACAAAAAAAAAAGAAAAGGAAGAATAATAATAGAATATATCTCACAGAGGTACTAGAATAAGTACCATAAGGGTCATGATGCCTTAGAGCAGGGAGGGACTTCATATACCTTAGAGTTTCATGGTCACTTTAAATACTCAAGTAAAACTAGTAGAAAGAAGCAGAAACATATAGTTCATTTTGTAGTGGAATGTGAGGCTTAGGGCCTGTGGGTATGCTTAGCATTATATACATGCCTGCACATGCCATTATTTTTCAAACATATATTTTATAGGGCATATTGAACACCCTGGAGAAACTCACTCAGTACTCTCTGATCTCTAGCCCCTAACTGAGAGGTCTTTTCTGTCTGCTGGGTGGAGGATGGATGCTGGCATCTGAAGGCGATTCCAAGCCTGGGCGCACGGTGCCTGATGGCCTCTCCCTTAGAGCAGCACCATGGCTGGTTTTCCCCTCACAGATGCAGTTCATGACTAAGTCGGGTAAACAGCAAGAATGTTAAATCAGCTGTCGCCAAAGGGCAGGGTTGGGTGGAATGAAGTGTAGAGCCAATAAGGACTAGAAAATTCATCATAGCCACCCTGTAAAACTACGAAAAGGTTTTTATGATGGGTAAATTTTAAAATATCACTTTGAGATGGTAGATATAATTTTCCAGGTTGTAGGCACCCATTACTGGTTGCCACCATGGCACCCAAATCGTTTCCAAGGAGGGACAGTTCTGGAGTTCTCCAGACCCCACATGACCACAACATCCCACCTCTACGCAGCTTCCTGTATCCCACAGAATTCTCCCCTTCAGACGGGTTCTTCTTTAATCCCCAGTCTTGCCCTGTCCTGCCTCATTCCACAGAGGTCACCTTTTGTCCAGTTCTAGTATATTTCAGCTTGTTAGTCTAAAGGTGACAGGGCACCCGAATCCTCCCCAGCATCCTCCTCGGATCCTCCTACCCCAGCACTAGAGTGCAGATGTTGCTGTTTCTGTTCCACCAACTGAGCTGTTTGTGACTAATTCTTTATCATCTCCTTCTTAATTCTAGCCAGTTAGGAACTAACTAGCTGATTAGGAAGACAGCTTCCCCAGAGGGTGAGCATAGTCCTTGGATTATGGTTTATGACCATAACCACGATGGGGTCCTCGTTCCCTCTCAGCCTGTTGGTCACGAGATGGAAAGGGGAAAGAGGTAGAATGGGTAACACAAAGCTTTGTACTTGGTCCATGAGCATGAATGGAGACAGCTGTCCAGGAGAGAGATTTTAGTGAACTGGCTCAATTTTATTCCAAGTATAAGGAATATGGGATTGGGGAGACAAACCCTAATTTGTATTAAGTGGCACACTCCTATCACAAGGCCTAGCATGTGGCAGTAGGGTCCTATAGCAGAGCTCCTAGACCAAGGATCTGTGCCAAGGGTCAAGCTAAAGAGGAATCAGGCATCCGGTTTTAGAGACAGCTTTTAGATAAGATCAGTCCTCCAGGCCCAGCAACCATTCTCCAGATAGCAGGTAGAAGCAGGAAGTCCTGCTGGAGGGCAGGAGACCGAGTTATTGAGGTAAACTGCTAGACTAGGAAGAGGCTGTGACCTCTGACCAACCAGCAACGTCTTCCAACAAGCCCCTGTCCCCATGACTGACCTTCACCTCACCTTAAACTGACACCAGTGAAGGCAGTGGGTGGAATTGGGTGAAGATGGTGCGTGTCTATCCACAAGGACATGGAGATGAACCCAGTGCCTGAGAGAGGTCAAAGGCCAGGTCAGCTCCATTCCCTCTTCTCCCTCCTTTTCTCTCAATAAGTGTATCTTCTAAAAAACCATCCTGGTATCATATTCTCCCTGAAGACACGGCAGCATTCCATCCTCTGAGCATCCATAATGCCTAGGGAGATTCCTATCACAACAGCCACCACAAAGAGATGTTATCTTTACTTCACTCTCTTCCCAGGGCTCCTTCATCTTCCTTTCCAATTACTAACGGTTACCATGATTTGTTCATGGCTAGTATAGAAAAAAGAATGTTTTTTTTTCTCTTTTTGAAAGGTTCCACATTTTATTACAGAACCAACTAGCTAGCCATTGTTGGACAAATAAAAGCAAACAAGGCCCCAATTTAAACAATTTAAACATGACCAAACTCCAGATGTTAAAATAAGAACTGTCCACTAGCTAGTAGAACTGTTTGGGAAGGATTAGGAGGCGTGGCCTTGTTGGAGGAGGTGTGTCACTGAGGGTGGGCTTTGAGGTTTTAAAGCCCATACCATTCCCAGTTATCTCTCTTCATCTCATAGTTGTGGATCAGAATATAACCTCTCAGCTACTGCTCCGGCACCGTGCCTGTCTGTCTGTCTGTTCCATGCCCTCTACCATAATGGCCTTAGCCTCTGAAACTGTTGGCCCCAAATATGCTCTTTCTCAGTAGGCTGCCTTGCTCATTGAGTCTTATCACTGCAGTAGAAAGGTAACTACTAAGACAGACAGTTTTGCTCTCTTTTTTTCTTGTCAGGAATCACTTGATTCTGAAAGTCCTTTTTTCTAAGTCGGATCTAATGGGTTTTTTTATTTTTATTTGACATTGAACAGACAGGGTTAACACACCCAGCAACCCCAGTGAGTGTTGCTCACACTGGTCTCACTGGGGAGAGACGAGACCCTAAAAACGCATCTCCAAAAATGCACTGTGCCTGGTTCTGGACTCACTCGTCCTCCGCCCTCCCCATGAGGGGGTAGGAAAGGAGGATGAAAAGTAGCATTTTGCTTTGCACAATATGTGACAATATTGTGAGGGGTCTCCAGGACCACTGGCCCCCATAGCACCCCTACTTCCCAGACACCTCCTAGTACATCTTGCAAACCTAGTCATTCCATTCTTTCTTGTGGAAGACTGTCACCTTCAGACCTGTTGCTGAAGATGGGTTTGTCACTCTTGGTACACCAACCAGATGTAGCAGCAGAGGTCAGTGTCACTGGCAGGCCCAGAGCCCGCATAGTCCAAAATGACCATGCTACTGCCGATGCCATTGCCTTTCATGTTGACCACTGGGAAATGGTGCCACTCCCTGTATTAGGGGTCCTTCCTGCTGGGACTGCCTGGGTCTGTAAGGACCAAGGTGTAGATAGGGTTTCCCAGGTCAAGGACATCCCACGAGATGTGCTGGGCCTAGGTGGGTGGGTATCAGCCCTTTGCCCAGTTCATCCACCTCCACTGGGTGCTGGAGTAACCATCTGCCTTCTGCAGGCTCAGTATCTCAGCCCACTGGCTAATGCCAGTTGCCATGGAGGTGGCGGAAGCGAAGGCACACACTGGTCCTGAGAGTTGTGGGAGAGGACGTGGTGAGAAGTCACGTCAGGTTGTGGTACGCGATGGTAGAAGAAAACGCTTCTTTTTCAAATAATATTTTTATTTATTCTTTCAGGATTTCATTTATGTATACAGTGTATTTTGATCATATCCACTCCTCCAAAATGTTTCTTGAAGACATGAATAAATTAACTAACATTTTTAGAAGAAAGCAAATGAGGAGTAGAGTATTTTGCTTGAAATCATGAGGTTGGTTGATTACAGGACTTCTTCTGGAACCCAGGTCTTAAGTTTACAACCCAGCACTGTTTGTACATCTATGTATGTGCCCATTGACGACAATGGTGGGTACAGCCAGCGGCAGCCAAGGTCGCAGATGCCCCGACCATCTGATGGCGCTGGGGAAGGCTTGAACAATGATCGGACTAAAGGTCCTATCACCTTGTCCCTTGCGGACATATGCCCTAGCAATTGTTTTAAAAAGGTCATTTTTGTGCCTGGTTGTCCAGGCAAGGGTCAACTCCCCAGGATGCTTGACTTCAGTCTTTTACTCAGAGGAGGGAAACTGCACCTTCTCGGCAGCTCAGGAAAAAACTCGAGCCTCTGCCCCA